AACTTGTTTCCCTTGATACCAATAGCCTGTCGAATGTCCCCGAAGTACGTAGCCGCTTCTAAGTCGGTTTTGATGCGTAGTGGTGTCTTTTCACGCTAGCGAACAGTAGAACCTTGAGTTACTTGTGAATGGCAATGGTACCAAGTATGCATCTTACCTCAATCTCCCACCTTGTCACGCCGTCTTTCGATGAAACCGAGAAGGCTAGTCCATCATCGTCCCAGATTATCCCCCCATGACCAGCGGCAAATTCCGAGTTGAGAATTAAGTCTCGGTCCACTTGCCAAAGCGCCGTGCTTTCATCTCTGGTGGATGCAGCGAGCCACCTCCCGTCCGGGGCGAACCGCAAATCTTGTACAGGATCGCTCGGTCTCGAAGTTGGGTGATAGCTGATGGAGTTCCATCGCACCGGCACAGCCAAGTCATCTCCCTCTCCTTCTAGCAGGCGTAAGAGATCTCTCTCCATGGAATCGACTGCAAGTCGCCAAGCGACTTCGGAAAAGCGATGGTCCATAGTTCTACCGTACATGGTGACCGGTGATATATTGCTCTCATCTTGATTACTCGAAGCAAAGTCAACGGTCTGGGTGTCCACCTTGAGGGATCTGGACGGAGAGGTCGATGACTCTTGATGGGACTGTTCAGGCTGAACGGTACCAATGCTCTGACTTGCCGAGTCTCTGGACTCGTAAGGAAGACTTCTCAGTGCACCTACGGTAGCTGAAGGTCCTAGCCCTGATACGATGCCGTGCTTTGAGAAGTGTGCTGCTCCCGGGGTGATGGTTGGAAGATGGTCACGTGATTTAGCCGGACGACCCGTAAAGATCGCAAAAAGCGTCTTGCACGCTTTTCGACATTCGTGGAGCAGGTATCGACTCCAGTTTACGAAACGCTTATACGGGTCCCATGGCTCGTGAACTACAGGGACCCCTGGTCCTACCTCTTCTCCCTTGATCCCGGATTTGTGGGCTTGCCAACGCTCTCCGCCTTCCCATAAAATGACCGCGAGGAGGATCAGCGATGTGAATGAGGTTAAAACCGTAGCGCAGAGCGTTACGAGCTTTCCCTGTACTGAGGAGTAGGTGTAAATCACCAAGCCGACCGAGAACGTCAAGACTGCGAAGACGAGAAAGAGGAGAGGCGTCTGCGTCAGGCAGATGGATATCCACACTAAAGGAAAGGCATGCCTAAGTTAGAAATAGCTCGATGGCTTAAAGAGCGTGTCATACTTACTAGGGAGAGCACTCCGCGGAGATCGGCTACGTTGCAACCATGATGAGCGAGTGAATAGAGACAGACATCCTTGACGTACTACATGGCAGTCCTCCCTATTGCCCTCAACAACGTCAGTAAAAATTCTACACGAAGCGAAATTTGTTCTATTTGTCTCACAGTGCATAGCGAGTTGGGAGTTTATTGCAGATGCGATGCTCAGAATTAAAGACGATACCCAGAGTGCCCGAACGATTTCGTCAAGAATACCCCTGCTTGGAAAGGTATCAGTGAGGAGCTATGGGGCCGATCCACGCTCTTACCCCTGCTTGTCGGCGGTGTACTGCATTAAGGCATGAGCGTACATTAGCTGAGCGGCTTGCCGTGCTGATGATCTCCTATTCACAGACCCCTCAGGCATTGGGGCCCAAGGCATATGTGAAGAGGCGTATAAGAAGTTTTTTTTTACCTGAAATGTAGTTGCAGCAACCCCAGAGAAGAATGTCGCCTTGTGAAACTAGCGTTAAGCTCGACTGTAACTAGAGAAGCGAAGAGAGGGTGATCCATACCACCGTGGACATATTGAGAAGTTGCTCTTTGGCTCGATCCTGGGCAGTCTTGATAGCCAAAACTCCTTAAGTAGGGCAGAATTTAGCAGAGTTTTGTTGAACAGGAGCCATTATTTACTTACCGTCTTTGCCGAAACGGGACAATGCATCTCCGGTTTGTTTCAAGTGCTTCTCCATCTCTGCCATTAAGCTATTCGTATACCGTCTGAGTGCCGGAGTATGAAGTTGGTCTAGTAGGATGGAAATCAGTCTATGGCCTGACGATAGCTCCTACAGAGATCTTACAGTCAAACTCTTCGAGTCCACCCGCCCGGTATTCCAGCCAGGACGCAAACATTTCTAGGGACTCCGGAAGTGCCTTGTCAGAGAACTCCGGGATATCGCGCAACGAGTCGAGAAATTCCCGGAGCTCGCTTGCTAGACCTCTTAAAAGGTTTGGAAAGTCGCCGACGCTTCCTGGGTCTCTGTCGACATTATCGGGCGCATACGTCTTAAAGTTTTGAGGGAGCTCGGAGCGGCGCGACTCTCCGAACGTATCGTAAATGAAGGATGCGTTGGCATAGAATATGTCGCCAATTTCTCTCATTCGTCGAGGAAGTCGGATCGCTGAGAATATTAGCCCGCTAGACGAGCCGAGAGGCCGAACTGCGCCGGTGAATTTGTCAATCTCCACTTCCAGATCTTTGAGTTTCCTATTGATTCGGTGAGCGGAGTTAGCCAAACGGCCATAGAAGTGGCACCCATTTCACTTACTTCTGGAACTGAACAAACTGATCAACACACTCTTCTTGCAACTGCTTGTCGATACGGAACGCTGGCGTGGCGGGCTTCTCCGTCTGGTCGGCGACGGATTTTATCACCCGGCTGACCGCGCTTCGGAAGCTTAGTCGAGGCCTGACAGTGGCCAATCTACTCTCAATACTTTGTGAGTCCTCCGGCGACGTAGCCATTGTAGGCCTGGGTGTGGGTTCTAGGGATGAGGGACGACGCCGCCCGG